TTTTTAACAAAATACACAACTAAGCCAGATATGGCCTACTTTTTAGATTCTGACATACTATTTTGCCTGCACGGAAACAAAAAGCATTTTTTTTCCGTTCAAAATATTTGCATTCCCCACCTTTACATAATGACCAAGGAAGCACACACCACAGAAGATCTTGAGTAACCACAGGCCCACATCAAAGCATCAGTTCACCACAAGGTAACAGTACTGTAAATCTTTTAGAACACTGACTTGCAAGGAATTCACCTGTGGCTCAACATCCCTCCGGACCAGACACCAGCATATGCTAGCAGAGCTCTATTCATACCGGTATACTACATTTTGAGAAACTATTACCACCACAAATGCTTTTGTCTCTGTCATTTTTCAAGTTCTTGCTAATATGTCCTTAACACACTTGTATCGAGTATGGTATTCATTGCCCTGTATTTTCCATTACTGAACCTGTTGATTAGGAAGCGTGCTTTTTAGCTACACAAGTGTTATTTCTGTCGCAGCCCACCCAATATTAACACTTCTAAATTATACAAGGATTTAAAGTTTCTCAATAACTGTTTTCAAAAAGGAAACACTTGGGGGGTGGGGTGGAAACATTCAGGGAGAAGAAAATCATGGGTAACTGAGGGGAAATTAAGGTATACAGGCCGTAATGGATGCAAGCCATTTCAGCAAACCCTCTCACTCCCCCCACCCACCCCACGAACTTCCAAAATCACGTGGAAGGTCGTGGGAGTGTCGTTAATAGAGATGGGCATGAAACTCCAGTTCACAAACCACAAACCAGCAATGCTCATCGCAAAATTAGGTTTGTGACGAGGTTTATGCCTATCCCTAGTTAAAAAGCTGCTTGTTACATCTCCAACACCATATCTGGGAGAACATAGTTTTAGTGTGGTCATCCAACTTCCTTCAAGCAAAGATATACACTCCAGAGTATGTGGTGATTTAAGCCTCCTGTTAAGTGACTTTAAACCAGACATTGGGAAACTGGTTTCACCAAGCCCATCCATCGCATTATGATTTTACTAAACAGTGAAGTAAGTTACTAAATGAGGCATCTAAGAGTCTTGCTAAATGACTATTAGAATCCAAAAAGCTGGAATCACTGGATCAAGTTCATCAATTTTGTTGAATACAGTAAACTAAAAAAGTTTTAACTGGATTTTGAATTATTGTCCAATTGTTACGATTTTGAAATTTATTGTTATTTTCTTTAGTGGGCCTTGAAAGCGGCTATTCTGAATACTGTTTTTTACGGGGCGGGGAGGCACTGGGGAAGAGTCTGTGGAGTCACAGGGGCAGTGGCCCCAAAAGTTTGGGAACCTCTGATGAAGTAAATTAACATAGTACTTTTTATTTTTTAACAAAATACACAACTAAGCCAGATAGGGCCTGCTTTTTAGATTCTGGCATACTATTTTGCTTGCACTGAAACAAAAAGCATTTTTTTTGTTCAAAATATTTACATTCCCCACCTTTACATAATGACCAAGGCTGCTTACACAAAATAAAAGTAACAAAGTTTGAGTCCAGTGACACTTTTAAGACTAGCCAAGTTTTATTCTGGGTATAAGCTTTCTTGTGCACACCCAGAACTAAACTTGGTGGGTCTTAAAGGTACCACTGGACTCAAACTGCGTTCTGCTGCTTCAAACCAATACGGTTACCCACAGTTATCCACCTGAACAAAACAAACATGTCACATCAGGATTCCTCTCAACAGAAGTTGAATACATCTCCCCCCCCCCCAATCAATTATGGCAGAGATAAAGAAGTTGAATACATCTCCCCCCCCCATCAATTATGGCAGAGATTGCAAAACAAAAGCACTAAAAAAACACTACAGATACAAAACTTCCAAAAGCTAGCCCTCACTTCAGGTTCTTGTTTGCTTACCACACAGTTTGAGAGCAAGGAACCTGTATCGAAAGTTTTCAATTTCCACCTTTTGTTTAGTTTACGTGTTGTCATTTGCCTGACAGAGAGCAAATGTTTTAAAAAAAAGATGAAAGGTATTTTTTTTAATTCCCTGCATGAAATGAATAGTTTTTCCCCCCTCTCTAGTCAGATCTTCAGCAAATTTTTAAAAAAATCTTACAGGTGTGGGGTGGGAATAGGCATGCATAATAAGCAATAATATCAACAGAGACAATTAACTTTCTTCTGTTTGCTGGTAAATGGGACTTCTCACTCAAACAACATGCTATCATGTACATTAAAAAACCCTGTCATTTCCTCTGCGTAACATCTGAGGATTCTTAACTCAGCCAGATATCTGTTCAGAGCGTTCAAATGAAAGTGTTCCTTCATGTTTCATAATCGGAATATAACTGTTCAATTACATTTTAACCAAGTTGCCCCCTTGGGAATAACACTATTAGCACACATCAGTTACTTTCACTGGAGTACATTAGCTTATCTCTAGCCAGCCAGCAAAGGAAACTTCCTTTGGAAAGACCGATCTTTCAAGGGGGGGGGGGGAGAAGTACTGGTAGTATTTTTTTTCCTTTAAAGAGCATCGCCTCAAGGTCTTAGAAGCTGATGATTACATTTGAAAGAAAAACATTCTGCATCATCTGTCTTACAGTTAGGACCGTTTCATCACAAAAGGTATTTTTCAAGTTTCTTCTTCATCAAGGGTTTCATTTTTTTAAATGTTCCTGTACGTTCCTACAGATGATGAATCCCTTGCTTCACCCTGGTCCTTTTACCATACAGACTGCTGTGCCACCCCCCCCTCAATGGAGGCTTAACTTAGAGGAAAACAGGTTAATTGCATAAGACGCTGAACTGCAGACTGGAAGGTCAGTAGTTCAGCAGTTCGAGACCCAAGTGCCGCATGACAGAGTGAGTTCTCGTCTCTGGCCCCAGCTCCTGCCAACCTAGCAGTTCGAAAGCAAGAAATTGCAAGCAGATAAATAGGAACCGCTTCGGTGGGAAGGGAGCAGCGTTCTGTGCACCTCGCGCTTAGTCATGCTGTCCACATGACCACGGAAAACGTCTTCAGACAGCGCTGGTTCTTCAGCTTGGAAACAGAGATGAGCACCGCACCCCTAGAGTTGGATTCGACTGGCTTTCGAGCAAGGGAAACCTTTACCTTTTTTCCTAGCACTCCCAAGTGCTTTAAAGGAAAATCCTCTCTCATTTTTAAATATTTAAAACATTTTCCTGCTACCTTTCCACCATATCAGGGTCTACAACGGGACAAATATTAAAACATCCGGACAATTAAAAATACAGTTAAAGTTATAAAATAATTATATTAAAAGCGCAAACAAACAATCCAAGGAGGAGTCTTTTTCTGTTCATCTGGCATACCCTCCAGTATGGGCCAGATTCAGGTGGGTAGCAGTGTTGGTTTGAAGCAGCAGCACGAAGTTCGAGGCCAAGTGGCACCATTAAGATGAACAGAGTTTTATTCAAAGTATGATTTACAATGCTATATAAGATTTAACTGCTACCGGAAGGTATGCCGGATTAAACAAAAAGACTTTCATTTTTATCCCTTCTTTCCTGCAGAGAGCTGCAATTCATCTCACACCAATTTTAAACCCCAGCTCTCCTTGCACCTGTGTTTTTCCCCCCTATCCCTTGAACACCACTGAGACTAAAGTCATGTATCTGGATGGCCCTGGTCAGGTACGGTAACTCAGTATGTTCTCCTCGCCTTGAGACTCCAGTGTGGCTTGCCACAGCAGCTGCTGATTGGGCAAATCTCCCCCCACCCCATTCATCCCGATGGGGTGGGGGTCTCTTGCCCACATGCAAGCTGGAGAAAAATGCACATATTCTGTCAGAAAGAAAGCATACAAGCAACTATGCTTTCACAGATTCTGAACAGAAAATATATCAAGGGGGGGGGGGGGGGGGGAGAGACAGATTGCCTGTAGTTTTAAGCACTGTTCATAAGCGCCAATTCTTTTGCAAGACCATATGTGGGCATCATTAGAACGTATTCCTTTGAAGAAAGTGCAAGAAAACAATCCAATGCACAATGCTTGCTTTATTAAACAAATGAATACTGTCCGGGGGGTTATTTCACACTATTTACTGGCTTTAGAATATTTTCCATCGACCTTGCAATTGAGCGGCAGCTCACCATCAGCAGCCAGAAAGGATTTTCTCAAGGCCTGCATTTCCTTCCATTTCTTCCCTGCCTGCACTACCAGCAGACAGCAGCAGAGACCCACAGCCATTGATTTCCAGCCCCACATGATGGTGGCCGCAAGCCTTGGCTTCCAGTATTACAACTCAGACAACAACCTTGACCTATCCAAAAGACCTTTTCACACCCCATGGGGTTCCCTGTCCCTCCTGTCCTCTGGTTACTACTTATCTACACCACCAAACAAGTACTGTTCTTGCTGCTCTGTCACTACACTATTCCCGCTATGATCCCAAGAGCTCTGTCCCGATTCCACATTTCTTCCCTTCTTTTTCCTTCTCCACTATCAACCCGATTCCTTAAGCCGCTCGTTCTTCCATGACTAGTTTCTCCCCCCCCACTACACATTCCCGCTTTCTCATTTGACTTCCTATCCCCTCGTCCTCTTCTTCCTGCCCTAAGTGTCCTTCTGACCTCAGATGAAACAAGACAGACCTCTCCCCGCTTCCTCCACAAAGACATCCCCTTTCCAATGCTCCCTCTAAGCTGTGGAGACTTGTGAGCAAAAATTCTACTTTGTGAGCTACTTGCATTAAAGTTGTGAGCGAACAATTTGGCTTCTGCATCAATTAGTTTGCTCCGGAGCCACCCTTCCTGTTATACATATAGATTCCCAGTCAAAAAGGAAAAATTGAAGTTAAAATGAGGAGGAAGATCTTGTGTTTAATTGCAATCAGACATGGAAAACAGGCCAGATAGCCCATCAAAAATTGACTGCTTTCTGAGCATGATCAGGAAATACATGAAGTTTTAGACTTTAGATAACATCCTCATGACATCATAATGAAAACAACATCCAAAAAGCATAATTGGTTGCAAAGAACTATACATCATTTGAATAAAAATCCCCTTATTGGTCAAATGTAAAGAAAGGTGTGGTTATACAATATCGTCAAGTGTTTACTTAACCTAACCTGAATACTATGGCCAAGGATTCTCCATATCCAAAGGTGTTTTTTTTCTGATACGGAGCTAAAATCCTTTTTGACCCAGACACTGCAAAGTTCTTACCCTAAACAATTAAAAAACCATGAACTTTATACCTTCTTCTGTGCCAAAAGAATGGTATTCTCTTGTCTGCTAACATCAGCTGGAAAAATACCCTGACCTACAAGAAAAGGCCTTCTATATAACAGGCCTTCATTACATCCTAATAAAATCGTATTAGGAGAAAAATGTATCAAACCAGAAAAAATATGAATAATCAGAAGAGAAAAAAAATCTTTACAATCCTATCTATACTACATTCCTAAGACAAAAATGTGTGAGCTGGAGGCTAAAAAACTGTGAGCTAGCTCACACTAACTCAGCTTAGAGGGAACAACACTGTCCCTTTCTACTGACCAACTCTGCATGAGATTTCCCCAAAGGAAAGGATGTCTTAATTTCTTCCTCCAGGGAACAGTCCAAATCAACGTAGCAGAACTAAATAGCTCATCGTGCTTAACAGCCAGGTTAGGTTTTACTCTGAATAGATTATGTATGTAACTGATCTCTGCTTGCAATCAACTTGCAGAATCTGGCCTTCTGACCTGCAGCCAGCTTCCCCTGATGTAATGTCTGTACCTTACTGCTTGCATAGTATCTCGTCCTCGGGGTCTGCTAATTTTGGCTACTCCTGGCAGTCAGCGATTGTTTATGGCTGTTACCATCTCTAGCCCTCCACAGAAGTCTTCTCACACATACAGAAGAGCTACAGGAGGGCCTGGGCTGATATTTTAATTCATAAATCCCAGAGCTGCAACCCCATGACTCAATCTGTATATCCCAACCACCCAGGGGCTAAGATTTTGATAACCGACAGGCGATCTTATCGCAGCTCTTCCAACATCATGTCTGGCTCAACTCCAGGTGCCTTCAAAGCCTAGCACACAGTGAGAATACCCCCTTCCTCAAGATGCTATGAAACAAGGAAAAGGTGTCTCTCACGCCTGGCATAAAACAAGACCTCCGGTTTTTCCAAGCTACGTGCAACGAGCAAGTAACTTGAGGAGTCTCTTCCTCTGACGTGAGCACCTACGGGCAGAGGCCCCAGAGAGAAATCTTATGGCTGCTGCCAGGGGTCGTTTCGTAGAAAAAGAGCTAGGGGAACTCATTAGCATAACTCATTAGCATATGCCACACCCCCTGACATCACCGGAACGAGCCCCATGAGGGGCCCGGCAGTGGACCTGCAAGGCCGGCGGGAGTGCAAGGAAGCCCCGTGAAGGCCCTCCCTGGCCCCAGGCAGGCAGGGGTGGGGAGAGGCAGGGAGGAAGCAAATTACCCTCCCTCTTCTCCTGCCTCCTCCTGGCTGAATGAGGGCCGGAAGCAGGGGGCGGGGCTTCGTCATGTGCCCCGCCCCCCGTACCTCCCCCGGGGGAACTGCGATCCCCCGCGAAATGACCTCTGGCTGCTGCTCACCACTGCACATCTTGAGACCCTGATTCCCACAGCCACATACAGATCACCCCCAGCCTGCACATTTCAAGGAGTACGCAGCTGGAAAATGCTACTGCCCCGAAGGCAGTGACCTTTTGCTGTGGCAAAAAAAACCTGGGCTGTTTTGAGAAGTCCAGGCTCAGCATGAAGGCTATTGTATTACTAAGCTCCTCCTTGTTTTCAATTTCTACCACACAGAAGCACAGAAAGAGAGCAGGGAAGCTCACAAAACCATCAGGGACGAAAGACACTATTCTGTAAAATGCGACAACGAAAACCATACCGCACAACAGCTAAGGCCGCCAACAGATTTGTGGGCTTTCTTCCTAGTCGCTGTGTTTGGAACTCAGAACCAAAGGAACTAGGTCCTGACCAAAAACTAAAGTTACAATTAGAACCCAGTTCAAGTGTGCTCAACATTGCGACTTTTTAAAATACAATATACAAAGCGTACCTGGGATAACATCATTGATATGCAGGAGAAGTGTGCTTTCGACACTCGCAAAACTGCAGAGCTGCTGTCCACTGTATCTTCCATCCCAGTTTCCAATTGGATTGTCCTAAAAATTATTTCAGAAACCTGGTTACACGTGGCCCCAAGAGGCGAGCCCGACAACGGGACATTCAAGCGGTGCCTATGGGTTTTGGTAAAAGATCTTGGGCACATGCAGCCTAGACGCGAAGGGAGTGGGCTCCTTCACAACTGCCTCGCAAGAGCATTTCAAGAGCAGTGCTTTCAGGTGCATAATTCCATCCCCCACGTTCACAGAAAACAGATTGCACTGTGCAAACATCGTTCGGTTGCCACAGACACTCAGGGACTGACGATTACGATGTTCAAGAAGTAAGGGAAAAGCCAAGCAAGATCTGTCAGCAGCACAGGAGCCCCGCAAACAGGTACACACACAAATGGCTCTCATACCTGCAGTATCAGAGAGTCATTTTCAACACAAAGAAGACTCGCTGGCTTCTTTGCTAAGCAGCAACGGTAAATGAGTGCATTCATTTACATGTGAAGAAGTGCAAAACAAGTAATTCCCCCACGTTGAATGCCTGCTAGCACTATAAAAATGTAACAGTTTGGCTTAATAATTCATTGCAAAGCCCCAGTAAGCACTCCAATTTCAAACACAGCTTAGGGGTCAAGATAAGGAATATCACACGTTCCTGAAGTGCTTCCAAAAACTCTGCGTTCACATTAAATGAGAGCCTGACATGACAGTCTTCCTACCGGCCCCCCCAAAAAATAAAATCCAAAATGGTCCTCTTTTCAGAGGACAACTGAAAAAAGTCAGTCGTGCCAACTGAAATATTAGTCGGCTAAGCAGGAGACTACAAAGAAGCAGTTATGTACAGAGAAATCTTGCATGATCGCTTTCAAGTTAAGCTTCATAGGGACTTTAAAAAAAAAGTAGCCCATAATAATCTTTACTAGTCTCTCCCCACACTGTTATCGCTTGTGGACGAATAAGGAAGTCAAACTTTTGCCGGTTTCCCGACTTTCTCCAGAGTAGATTTTTGTTTGCTTGTTTTAACTCACCCTCAAGAAACCAGACAAGCTGCTATTTACAAGTCTGACTTCATGTTTTAGAAAGCTGATGGATGGGGACTGTAAGAAGCAGTTGTACATGATGATGTGAATCATGGGTTACGAGTCTAAAAACGAACTAGCCGGCAGATATGCCCACCACCACCGCCCCCTTCAATATTGCATGTACTTTCCATTTAACACACATGCAAAAAAATTTACAAGAATCAGGTGAATTTCTTACCATGTCCACTCCAACAACGTATCCTAAACTCTCGTTTCCTGGTAAGACATCACAGAATATAACTGTCCCATACTCTATATTCTTTCCTATCTTCACAGAAACCCTGGAGTTGAGCTCCAAAGGAGGAAGTTCTACCTGCATTGAGTCAACTGGAGCTGCATAGTCATTCTCCAGTTCATTCTCATCGTCCTCCGCCAGCTCCAGTTTGTCAAGTGCAACAAAAACGCCACAGTCCTCGTCACATCTGAACAGCTGTTTGCCTTGGTACTGTCCATCAGTAAAGCCCTGACCGCGACCTTCTTCCTGGATTTGAGGTTGGAGAGGGAGAGAAAAGGCCACACGCACAATTCATTCAGCACCGGAATTAGCTGCAAGCAGGATGTTAACATGGGGCTGGATCCAGACTAGATTGGCAAATTCCCACTGATTCTGCCTGTAGACCCTCTTATGTCATTCTTTTGGGCCCCCTACTGCCAAGGGGCAGCACTCTGCGGAATAAGGCAGAAAAGTTCCATTTTGCTCATGGAAAATGTAGTCCTACCCTTAGAATGAGTAGACCTGGATTCAAATCCCTGCTCACTTCTAAAGTTCACTGGGTGACTATGGGCTAATCATTATCTCTCAACCTAATCCATGGAGGAGATGAAAAGATTAAAATTAAGAGGAGTGGGTGGAGACTAAGCATACCACACCCCGAACCCTTCTGGTGTTCATTCTTCAAAATTGCTTGGTGACTGAACATTGCTCATTCTTCAAAATGCTTTCCCTCGTAAAGTTAAGACACGTACACAAGAAACTTACCAGAAGCTCTACTCCGAAAAAAATCCCAGACAGTGATCTTTCTTGTAACAAAGGTCCTCTAAAGCGCACAACTCCAGGATATTTTTCGTCTCCCGATCTCAGCTGCACTCTCACCGGCGACCCAACCTCTATGTGCAGGCCTTTAGCCAGTCTGTCTTTGTTCTTAAATATACTGTATCTTTCCTCACAATTGGTGATTGCCAAGAGCAGTTCCGCTAATTTCTCGTTTATTTCTACAACTTCTTTCTCGTCCACAAACAGGACGGCGTGAGGCTGCTCCAAAATCTTGATTCCCATTTGCACTTTTTTGCTTTTAGGGATACTTCTGGTATGTCCTCCGGTAGAACGATCTTGAACGAACTGACCAATGCTCCCCTTAGGAACCTTCAACAACTTCTGAGTTTGTTTGTCTATGACGCTGCATTCTTGGAGAAGCAGAAAAAATATACGCTCTTCCCAATAAGGTGAGCTGCCTTTCTCTTGACTCCACAAGCCTGAATTCATCGCTGCACAAACTTTGTACAAATACAAAGAGAGATCTTCAAGGCAGGAGAGGTGCCAGCATGGCTGTAAAGGACCTGGAAGATTCCACTAGAAGGCCTGGCCCCAATAACGGGTTAAAGATTCCTCGTTCATGTTCAAAGTGAGCTAAATCCAGAGCAGATGACCTGGAAAGCAAAAATAAAGATGGCATCACTGGAGGCCGAAGGAGCCGTAATAAGAGTAAACCACAAGGAAACAAACCCATTTTGAAAGCAAACCTCATCACTGGTTTTTATAGACCTATGACAGCAAGCAGCTGTCAACAACGAGAATGCTTCTAAGGTAGCCACAAAGGTCACGCTGAGGATTTTCTCGGACAGATAACACTGACTGACTCCTATACTTCCTTAGTCACCATCTCTGCAATGGCAGCTTCATAAGACTGGCCATGCCCGGTACAAATTATTTACCTGCGCAGCTTTATTTCCTTTCCCTGTGACTTAACGGCAGTTCTTATTTAGACCTTGAACAAGTGCACATCTGGTACACTACTAGAAACCACATAATAATTTGCAATCGTCTGTTGTGAAGGAGGATGAATCCAGTATGTGTGAGAAAAAACCAAAGTGAGGGATGCAGTTGAAAGACACAAAAGGCCACGCTGGAGGCTTGGAACTTTCTCCCAAGATTCTTGCCCCCATAAATCCATGCCGCCGGCACCACTCAACAGTGCCAGAACTCAGCCCAGCTGGAGTAAGTGCATTTGGGGTAGGAATGATTAAGGGAAGGTGGAAAGTAGAGGGAGGGTTCAGCATATAACCACATGCCTGCATGCATTCATGGAAGCGAGTATACACACAAGCAATACTCCCTGTAAGCTGTAGAGTCTTGTGAGCAAAAATTCTATTCTATGAGCTACTGGCATTAAAGTTGTGAACGAGCCATTTGGCTACTGCACAAATCAGTTTGCTCTGGAGCCATCCTTCCTGAGCTAAGACAAAAATGTGTGAGCTGGAGGCTAAAAAACTTTGAGCTACCTCACACTAACTCAGCTTAGAGGGAACGCTGCACACAAGCCCGCCCGCCCATAAAACCCTTTTGATATTTTACAACACCATTTCCCAACTTAAGACATGATGCAAATTTGGTGACATAGGTGGACTGCCAGAAAGTATTACTCTAGGCCTTACAGTATTTCTGAGTAATGTGAGTTGTTTCTTCAGATTCTTACACAAGCTTATTATTATGTAGACGCAAGGGATGCTTTGGGACAAAACGGCATTTGTACAAGCCCCCAAACGAGGACACAAATGACATGTAACTAAAAACTGCGTATTAAGTAAACTAGTCAGAGGGAAAGCTTTTAAAACATAAAGCCCTTCAAAGGTGTGGGAGCCAGGTGCCTCAGAGACTCAAGTACAACTCTCTATCCACTGAATCATACTTTTTACTTATATAATTTTTGTTTTGAGAGAAACCGATGCCCTTTAAACGTTCTCCCAGCTGCATGGGAGTCGCTTTATCTGAGAGCGCTTCCCACATAGTGCGAAAATGTCAAAAAACAAAAAATGACAAAACCATATGTATGGGACTGATCACAAGGGTTTCCCCCCCCCCCCACAGGATCAAGTGTTCCATTGAAAAGACCCACACAACTGGCCCTACCCACATCGCTCAGTCATTTTAGACATTCTTCCTCTCACGTGGGAAGCACCACACTCACCAACCAGCTCCCATGAAGCTAAGAGAATTGATTCAAGGGCACAGACGTCATTCTCAACAGGTCAAGAATTCCAGAGTTCGGGATGCGGGGGTAGTCTTTAGTCTATATGGCTTTAAGCAAAAAGGATTCAACGAAATAGTAAGAGACAGGTCTCTTGGTGCCTGTTTGCTATGATAATTAAAAGGAGACTCCGTGCTCATAACGTGTGAGCAGCTTTCCTAGATTAGACCAACGGTCCATCTAGTCAAGCATCTGCTTTTTCCACAGTGGCCGCCCACGTGCACCTGGAAGTCCAGCAAGCAGGACACAGAAGCCAAATCTTTGCAGCCCCCAAGATATCCAGAAGTTCTCTGCCTCTGAACAGGGGCATTCCACTTAGCCAGATCTTTAGTCTCAACCATTAAGGCAACCTTGTCAGTTTGCAAGGTGCTACTGGGCTGGAACCTTGCTCTTAGAAGACACACAGAGTGAAAATACCACTCAGCATGTTTCTATCCCCTCCCCCCCCATTTCGGTCCATAGCTCCTTTTCCTCTTTTTATTAATTGCTCCAAGGAATTATATACAAGATGAGTTTGGGAGAGATGGGTGACTGCAATCCCAAAGAGTCAACATAGCGATGGTGAAATGAATGGCACATTTTTTTTTCTGCCTTTATCTGTCTCACCTAGAAGGAATTCTGACACCGTACGCCATGGTAACAAATCCAATAAGCTTCTAGAGGGAAAGAACAGTTGAATGACCGGAACTGTGTTGGTGGGGGAGGTGACTTAACGGTCAGAAAAAAAGATCAAGATTTTACAGAAGTTTATCGCCCATCTCGTGTTCTGTTATATGTTATGCTTCATGAACATAAGAACTACCCTTCCAGATCACACTACGCTGCTCCCGACAGTACCCAGATGCTCCTGGGAAGCCCCCCAGGCGGATTGGAAGGAACAGCCCTCTCCATTTGCTCATCCCCCAAACATCTGGGCCCTCATCTGGATGACCCAGGCCAGCCAGATCTCATCAGACCTCGAAAGCTAAGAAGGGGAGGCCCTGGTTAGTACTTGGATGGGAGACCACCAAGGAAGGTAAGGGTTGCTACGCAGAGGAAGCCAATGCCAAACTACCTCTGTCCATCTCTTGTCTTGAAAACTATACAGCAGGGGAGTCAAACATAAGGCCCAGGGGCCGGGGCCGGCCTGTCGAGGGCTCTCATCTGGCCCTCGAGCAACTGGTATGTATGGAAATGTAAAGTAATCCCCCTTTTATGGTATCCCTTGGAAAAAAACTCATATTGCATCTGATTAAATACCTCTATTGGGGCTTTTGTGGGTTCCCCAGTAAATCAATTGCTTTCACTGCTAGGAATCAATTGCTTTTGTTTGTATTTTGAGCAAAAATAATATTTTTAATTGGGTTTGCCGGTGTCCTTTATAAAGTTTATATCTCTGGTACCTGGTGTTACATTTTATGACGTGCATGGCTCGGCCCGACAAAGGTCCATTTATTTATGTCATTTCCGGCCCCTCATGACAATTGAGTTTGATACCTCTGCTATACAGGGTCTATTTAAGTCGGCTGCGATCTGATGGCACTTTCCGGCACTACCAAACATTCAGTATTCAGACATACACGAGCACTCTTCAGACAATACATTCCTGTAGAAGCCAGTATACATAGACAGAGAGCAGGTAGAAATAGTAGTTTAGCCCTCTTTCAAGGGAACACGCTTGTCCCACCACTGGGCAGGGCCAACACATTCAGTCACAAACCAGAGTCCCACTCCCCCCCACACACTTCATATGCAGAATGAAACTATCTTCTAGCCACCTACCACAGATGATTCCATCAATCTAGCACCCTTTTATAGCCATCTAACACCACCTGCTTCTTACTTAACTTCTAAGGAATGACTGAGGTAGTTTCTTATAGCAAAAATAAACCATAGACTTGTGGCATTTTAAAGATGAAGGTTTTTTCCCCTCACATAAGCTTTTGAGGACTATTGTCCCCTTTTTGGCTTAAAACACACTCTGTGCATCTGTGAAAGTAGGCTAAAGTCCATGAAAGTCGATGCTAGGGATAAAAACATTTTAACCATTAAAAAGCTGTTACGAGACATCTGTTCAGAGTTTTCTATCCCTCCTGTGGTACAGCGCGCTACAAAGTAATAATTATGAATTAAAAGACAAATATAAAGAGTAAAAGATACAGTAAATGCAAAAGTAAAAAGAAAGGCAAGAATAAAGTTCCCTCAACTTCCACATCTCTATCAAAAGCCACCATCACCACAAACCTGCAGCACAGAATTCTTCCAGTGAGCCCTACATCATGTGATGTATCAATGCTTTTAAACCCCCAAAACATCACAGTAAATATTAAAAACCCATCACACACAAAAACCTTAAAACCCCAAAATTAACTTGAAATCCCCCCCAAACTATCTGAAGCTTAAAATCCCCCCCAAACTCAAAATGCAGAAGAGACTATACAGCATTTAAAATCCCCCGCCCCAAAGACACAAAACACAAATCCCCCACATGCAACACTTAAACCCCTCGATGCAAACTTAAAATAGTCACAACCCACCAAAGAGACTACCTAAAATTTAAAACCCCTACATCACAGATCATCTTTTAAGCACCCTAACGAACAAAACAAACATGCAAAAATATTTAAATCCCCAGAAGGCACAGAACATTCTTTTAAGTTACATCCAACCCCTGCAGACTTAAAACTCAAAGCTCCCCAATGCTATTTTTTGCAGTAATAAAACCATAATAAGAACAACAATAACAACAACAACAATAAAGATAACAAGCATAATACTAATACTACTAATACTACTAATACTAATAATAATAATAATCCTTTGTTGGTCTTAAAGATGCCATTGAGCTCCAAATTTGTAAAATTATTTATTATTTATTATTAATTATTATTATTATTATTATTATTATTATTATAATTATTAATCCTTAAC